CACTCACAGACTTACTGTGTAGGTAGAGTCTGAGTGAGAAGCATTTAAGTTCAAATTGTGAAGAACAGTTTTTAAAGTATTGGAATGTGTCTTTGAATATTTATCTGTGACATTTTAATTGCTACTTGTGCAAACCTTGGGTCGGGATGATTTTATCAAGTAGGACACATTTCTGGAACTTATTTGAACATTTATGGAGGACATTTTTAAATTTTAAAAAGGAGTTGAGCGCCAAAGTGCCATCATTCTTCACAGTATGTGGGCCGGAGCAAGGTGTCGGATCTGGGCCAGAATTGAAATCAATGTGGCCCAGATTTGGGCCAGCTCTGCTTTATTTGGTTTATTCATGGCTGACATTGGGCCTTCGTTTGGCTTGCTTGTGGCCCAAATCTGGCAAACAGGAGTGGACCGCCCAATTGTCATCATTCCACACGGTATGTGGACCAGATGAAAGTGTCAGGTGTGGGCCTGATCTGGGCCTCAGGAATTTTGCTATCTGGGTGCATCAGAAGAAGCTGGGACAGAATAACAGGTGATGTTGGCTGTTAACTAATGTCATTGTAAAGTGGTCTGATTCACTGATTACATCTAAAGTCTAAGCACTGATCAGAAGTGTGTTTTGTTGCTAATTTGTTTAAATATTGTGCTACTGACCATGTCATATACAGGTGCATCTCAATAAATTAGAATGTCGTGGAAAAGTTCATTTATTTCAGTAATTCAACTCAAGATGTCAATGATTGTCTTCTGGACAACTGTCAGATCAGCAGTCTTCCCCATGATTGTGTAGCCTAGTGAACCAAACTGAGAGACCATTTTGAAGGCTCAGGAAACCTTTGCAGGTGTTTTGAGTTGATTAGCTGATTGGCATGTCACCATATTCTAATTTGTTGAGATAGTGAATTGGTGGGTTTTTGTTAAATGTGAGCCAAAATCATCACAATTAAAAGAACCAAAGACTTAAACTACTTCAGTCTGTGTGCATTGAATTTATTGAATACACGAGTTTCACAATTTGAGTTGAATTACTGAAATGAACTTTTCCACGACATTCTAATTTATTGAGATGCACCTGTACTACTATGACAATCAGATATTATGAAAACCTGTAGTGAGCATGAAGATGCTAACCTCAGTGCCAATTAGACACTCACAGTGTGTAATGCTGTTTGTGGAGCTGTTTAATCATCCTTTGCTGAGATCTTGAGAGATTTAATGTCTTGTATTTCAATTGATTTCATCTAAGGCTGTGGCTGGAAGTCAGTTGGCGTTTTTGTTATTGTTTCTCTTTCCTTCAGTTATTCTGCTTGTTAAAAGCAGTTGTTCAAATGTTTAAAAGAATGTTTCGGGAACATCATGCTAACCTTTAAATGATGTTCTATTAACATTAAGGAAATGTTTATGTTCTTGGAATGTTACAAATCAATGTTCCTAGAAAGTTGAGTTGTTAATAAAAATTAAGTTGAAAGAACACTTCAGGAACATCATACTAACCTTAAAACATGTTCTACTAACATACAAAACTGGACATTTTAATGTTTCCATAAACAAAACAATGTTTGGAAAATGTTCTTGGAATAAAAATTAGCTTGGTGGTTACCATCAATTTTTAAAATTCAGCGATGTAATATTTGTCTTTATTTTATCTCTGTTTTTATCATGTAATGATTTCATAAGAACATAAAACTAGAACTAGCATGAAATAAACATTAAAGCAAAAATAAGAAAGATGTACTGCATCTCTCGTTAAAAAGAGCCAGGGGAGGAGGACCAAGTTGTAGTCATGGAGACTGGTGAAGCAGGTGAAGCCAGAGGAATGCAAGGAAAATTTGACACCACAGGACCAGAGAGCTGAGGACCAAGGTGGAGCTAGGGGTTGAGAAGACTGAGGCAGAGCTGGTGGGAGAAAGGACAGTGAAGCTGTTGGAGGGATGCAGGAATCCGGTTGAGCCACAGGATTTGAGGACCCAGGCATACCTGCAGGTCTTGAGGTCTGAGGTGGAGCCTGGAGGATGATGGACCAAGGTGGCAATGATGGGATGAAGGAACCCGGTGAAGGCACAGGGATGACAAGCCATGGAGGAGTCAAGAGAGCGAGGAGCCACAGTGGAGCCAATGGATCGACAGACTGATCCCTGGTCTAGGTCTAGCGTAATGTAAACAACACAGTAACATTTATTAATTAATCTTTAACCATCTAACACACATCAACAGAAGCAAACAAAGAGGCAGAGTCCCCTCCAGAGGAAATCCATGTGCATTTATTGTCTTGGTCTCTTCTGTGGTCCAACCACTGAAAGCCATGCCTTATACAGGACCAGTCCTACAAAAGGGGAGAAATAAAAAGAAACAACAGGCACAATAGCAATAAAACCAATAAAATATCACAACATTATGTCACAGACATAACAGCCCGGATGACCAAGATGAAGCCGAGTGATCTGAAGGCTATTGCAGAGCTGGGAGCTTGAAAGCTCATGGAGAAGCCACTGAGTTGGATGGCACCAGCAAAGACAACGAAAGTCAGGTGGAGCCAGCATAGATGATGCAGCCTTCGGGCTGGGCGGGGCCAGCAGAGACAAAGAATTTAGGAGGCTGGGCAGGACCAGTGGAGACAAATGAGCTTGGAGGCTGGTTGAACCCAGAGGAGGAAGTGCCAGGAAATTGGTCAGAACCAGAGAGTCCAATAAGCCGACTTTAACCATTGAAGCAAAGAGGGAAAGCACAAGGGTGGGGACTAGTTCTGTGTAAAAGTCTATCAACAGCTCTTTATCTGCCCATTCTGAGGTGGACTATGTAACAGACTTTGGTCTGTTATCATGCTTCAACTACGCACCATAAGGGGGCGCTAGTGCGCTCAGGTGTTGGGTTTAAAAGTCAGGTATGTAGTAGAAGGAGAGATTTGTTTGGGCAGAGGAAAGCATGGCTTTCCTGCTGCATCGCCACAAGTCAAGCTGTCCTGATTGAGAAACTTTTGGTTTCCTGCTTAATCAAAGTAAGCTGTTCTTTTGTATTATCTATACAATGTATTCTCAGGATTGCTTTTTGTCATTTTGTGTGTTCTTCATAGTGATTGCATTTGTGTTTGCTGTCAGGCTAGTAATGGTAATGTTAGCATATCTTCTGTATTTATAGAAAAGGACTTCTTGATACATTTTGTCAAATGCTTTCTGGGTAACTCATGAAGTCAGAGATCAAATGGATTCCTGTTCATGAACTTTACTGACATCGTTTATGGATACAGTTGGATTTGGTGTACAAGGATTAAGAACAACTTCCTTCAGTGTGAATCACTGATGGACTATTGTTGGGTGACTTATCTTCTTACTTTTCTATTGCTCTACGTGTACAGATTTTGTCTTTCCTCGATTACAAGGGACACTTTCATGCATTTATGGACAATCCCAGGGTTTTCGCATCCATCATACGCCTTTTATTTCATTATCTGAATTATAATTATTATTATTTTTCCTTCTAAATTTATTTTCATTTAAAGACTTGCTGTTTATTTGTTTTTCATGGTTTGTTTGTTATATCAATTGTTGGTGTCTTTTGTGCTGTAGATTCTACAGATATATTATACTATATATATAAGCCATCCTTGAAGCTTAAACAATATTTGGTATTCAAATTGTTTGGTTTATGTTTATGGTTAGTTTTTGAGCCCTCCCAAAATTTCAGATTTATAGCAGCCTCTTACCCCTTGCAGTCAGAGGTCTGTTATAACGTGGCAACAGGCTCAGACTCTAGGACATCCATAGTGGCATTCTCTGACTCCAGGATGAAGAGAGCAGCAGGTTCTGGCTCCAGGACAAACATAGCAGATAGGTTTGGCTCCACAATAAGAGTGGGCTCTAGCTCTGGGTCTGGGTATGGGCTCTGGCTCCGAGACCAGAGGTCCACTGATAGATTAGAGATAGGCAGGACTGGATGGGGAATGGAATGTTACAAGAAGGCATCCTCCTTGACCTCCTCCACTGTTAGGGAGGAGCCAGTCAACCAGAAGTGGAACAGTGGGAAACTGGTATTCCTCATTGGCATGGACTAAAGGAAGTAATCGTTGAGCCTGCTCCAGAGGCACATCTTCAAATTTTCCTTATTCAAACAAACCTGATGGCAGAAATCCTTCAGCGGCCAACCCCTCTTATAAGGGGACAAAACTGAGCTTTCAGTCTAGTATTTTGTAAACAGCAAACAGGAACTTAACACAGGAGCCGAAGGAAACAGAAAATACACACCAACTTAAAAAATCCTCAAAAACAAACACACAACTGTTGCAGGAAGTTTTATCAAATTAGTGACACAGGTGAGTCAAAAAGAGGTGCTGAACACGTGCCAAAGCATACAACAGTGGATGACCACAGTGGAATGAATAGTAGGCAGACAATGTAATGGAACACTCTGTGCAGTGTCAAAGAACGATATTGGAAGTATCCACAGAGGAGGACAGTGAGTATCACAATGGCAGAAAATAAGTATCAAAAGAGGAAGACAGTATGTATCGAAACTGGACAAAGAGAAAACACTGCATAGTGGCAGCATGGTCAGTCAAACTTTGGACATGGACTCTTGAGAGAGACTTGACAATGAGTGCGATTAAGATGTATTTAAAGCGTCTTTGATGAGTGTGCTGACTGTGTGAAGATTTAACTGTTTATAAATACAGAAAGAGGGAATTGATCTTGGAAGGAGTTGGAAAGCCAAAGGCCGTTCTGGAGGTTCAAAGACTCCACTGGAGCAGACAACGGAATCCACACAGAGCTGGGCAGTGACAATGTTCTGTGTGGAAGGTAAAACGCAGGTGTGCAGTCTCGAGCTACCCAAAACCTCTCTTCTGGTCTGTACCATTTCCAGGCCAAGAGGTACTTGAGACAACCCTTCTGGCACGGGGATTCCAGGATGTTCATCACAGTGTACACAGAACTCTAACCGCAAAGCACGGCCCTAAAAGTACAACCCTAAAATATGTTGGATTGATTTATTATAATATAGTGAAGGGACAAATGTATCGGGGTCTTAACTTTCAGCTGGAACGTTAGAGCCAAATGTCCCTTGTGGAAAGCCAGACCTTCTGTCTTGGTTGGTACGTAGGTGGATCATATCTAGCTCTTCTGGTTCTTTGTACGTGGCCATGCCCCTGGTTCCAGACTTTCTTGCTTTCCTGAAACCAGTGATCAACTGTAGAGATGTCTGATGGCTCACCAGACCATGGGAAAAGGGGTGGTTGTAATCTAGCACACACTGAAATGAAATTATTCCAGTGGCACATGAAATTCTGGATATATTCCACCCATGGACGATAACAACTCCAGGATTTCAGTTAATGGTTGCATTATGTGTGTAAAAAAATTATCCATTTGCCCATTCAACTGAGGATGGTAGCCACATGACAAACTGATGGACACACTCAGTATTTGGAAAAAGGCTCGACGGACCTTTGAGATAAACTGTGGACCATGGTCTGACACAATGTCTTCTGAGATGCCGTAGTTCTGAAAGGCGTGATAATATCATCTGCACAGTCTCGATGGTAGTATGCTTGAACTTGAAGTGGGACTAGACGAAAGGCTTTCATAAACCAGTCCAAAGTGACATGGATGCATGCATACTGTTAAGATGGTGGAAGTTCAGAAACAAGTCCACTCGCAGATGTGACCATGGGCACTGAGTAATGGGAAATGGGATGAGTTTACTGGCTGGGAATTACAGAGGGACTTTTGCCATGGTGCAGTGTACATTTCTGAATGTAACACCAACCATCTCTTGGCAATTCAACTCCTTGCTGAAATAATCCAAATCCTTGCTGAGATAATGGCCAATTGGAATTACACTTTTGTCTTATTAGGGGGAAAAATATCAGAGTTGGTTGGGGGGAACTGGATTTCCTTATTTCATCCCAGATTTATATTGGTAAAATGTGAGGCACTCATCCTCTGCCCCACTAGCCTACATGCCAAAGCCATAAACAACATTTTTAAATATCCAACTCACTTTGCAACTTAAAATAGTCTATGAACTCTATAAAATATATCTCTAAAATACGTCTTTGCAGAATGCAGAATACATTTATGAGACAGCTCTGCCGGGCTCCCTCATCCCTTCGGCTCCAACTTGGTCAGTCGTTGACCATCCGCCGCCTCAGAACTCCACTCCTTCTGCTGCACCTTGTCCCTCCATCCCTCTGGCTCTGTCAGGTTCCACCTTCCCTTTGGCTCTACCTTGGTCCTCAGTCGCTCCTTGGTCACCGGAGCCATCTGCTCCGCCTTGGCCCTCCAGATCCTCCGCGTCGCCCTGGCTCGTCGGCTCTCCGTCTCGGGCTCCACCATCACCTGCTCCGCTGCCGTCGGTCGGCCCCATCCGCCGCCTCAGAACTCCACTCCTTCTGCTGCACCTTGTCCCTCCATCCCTCTGGCTCTGTCAGGTTCCACCTTCCCTTTGGCTCTACCTTGGTCCTCAGTCGCTCCTTGGTCACCGGAGCCATCTGCTCCGCCTTGGCCCTCCGGATCCACCGCGTCGCCCTGGCTCGTCGGCTCTCCGTCTCGGGCTCCACCATCACCTGCTCCGCTGCCGTCGGTCGGCCCGCTGGAGTCGTCAGCCTTTCCTCCACCTTGGCTCCTCCCTCCTTCAGGCTCCACCGTGGGTCGCCTTCATTGCTGCGGCCTGGGTCCTGCCTGGCTCCTCCAGCTCAAAGTCCTTCCTGTCTTCTCCCTGGCTCCTCCCTCCATCTGATCCGCCCTGGCTCCTCCTGTTTTCTCCATGGCTCCTCCCTCCATCGGCTCCTTCCTGGACTCTGTCTGTCATCCTCCTCCCGGGAGTCCGTCCTCAGCCCGAACCTCCACCTATACTGTCTGCCTACCTTCCTGCCAGCCCTTTGCCATCCCCTGTCACCATCCCACATCCTCTCCTTTGGCCTCCTTCTTAGTCCCCCTCTGTCCCTCCCTTTGTTTTCTGCGGCGCGAGGTCATGCCTTCCAGGAGGGGGGCGAACTGTCACACATATGAACTGTTTTGTTGCACTTTCATTCCTCATGTGTTCTGTGACCCAGTTTTTTCCCGTATTTGATTGTTCACCTGTGTCCTCATTAGTTGATCCTCCTCACCTGTCTGTCCCTCATTAGCACCCCTACTTTAGTTCTAGTCTGTTCGGTTGTCCCTTGTCCGGTATTGTGAATGTTCCCTACGTGTGTCTCCTGCCTGCCTTCTGTGAATTACCCTCTTGTGGATTATTAAAAGACTATTTGCCTTCATCTTCTTCGTGTGTGAGTTTATCTTAGACACCTGTTGCATGACAGTAGCTACTGTAGCTTTGAGGGTTTTTTTCCTTCAGAAACCGTGGTACTTTTTCTCAAAGTAGCTTGTTTCTCCATTTAATCTTTCAAATGCTCAAAATAGCTAATGTCTTTTTTTTTTTTTAAATGAGTTAATTTTTTTTCAATAAACCTTCTTAATTGAATGTTAATCTTGGTAACCAGTAATTCGCTCCACAAAGCATACTTTATCCAAATGTGTATCCATGTTGCAAGTGAACACATATTTAATGTCATCTGTGTTGTATTTTCTCTAACCTTGCATAGTTTTATGGTCTACAAGGATAAGGACATGTCTCTTAAAAGGGGCTTACACACCGCGTAATTCTAGGAACTTAGTTCTAGGAACTAGCCAGCGGGTGGTTCCTAGAGAACTAATTTCTCCCTCGGGCCGTTTTCCTGGTTACATTCGCACTGGCAGTGAAGTCTTTATGCATTTACATACATCAACAACCGGTGAATGGAGGATCCCATGATCGGAGCTGGTTTTGTTGTGTGTTTTAGGTTGGAATGTAAATGCACAATTTACATGACCGAAATCTCCTATGACAACTTGCAGTGTTACATATTGAGGCTGAGAAAAGAACACAACACTGCAGACAACAGGTAAATGCCATTATCACTGTTTTCCATGTTCATGGAGTAAGTATTTTTACATGGCTTTTTAAAAACGCTGGGTAGCCGGTGTTTCGTATGCATTTGACCAATCAGCATACACTTACATCACTGGTAGTTCCTATAGAACTGAAGTAGGAGCTAATTTAGTTCCTCCAAATGGAGTTCCTAGAACTAAAACCGTTCCTAGTTCCTGCAGTGCGAAAACGCCAAAAAGTGGGTAGTTCCACAATTAGTTCTGGTACTATGAAAAGGTTCCCGCGGTGCGAAAGGCCCTATTGACAAGGTTCCTCCGGTGCGAAAGCCCCTAATCTGTCCTTGGTATCTGCATAATTTGCCTAGGTTCTACCAAGTGATAGATGAATTTGAATGAAAAGACATTTGGGAATAATTTGGAATAGCATTTCTCCTCTCATTTAAAAGTTGATAAGCTTACAGAATTATATGGTTAGTTGTATGGTTTGGGGGCAGTCATGGCCTAATGGTTAGAGACTCAGACTTTAACCCAAAGGTTGCAGGTTTGAGTCTCAGGTCTGGCAGGAATTGTCGGTGAGGGGAGTGAATAACCAGCACTCTCTTCCACCCTCAATACCATGACTGAGGTGAGACCCTTGAGCAAGGCACCAAACCCCCAACTGCTCCTTGGGCGCTGCAGCAATATAGCTGCCCACTGCTCCGGGTGTGTTCACTACTGTGTGTGTGCGCTTGGATGGGTGAAATGCAGAGCACAAATTCCTAGTATGGGTCACCACACTTCACTTCATTATTTTACTTACATTGAACATAACCCAAAATTTTGGGTTGCAACTCCCCAGATGAGAACCACTGCCTCTGAACAATACAAATAATTATAATATTTTGAGATCAACCCTGACAGACTCTTAATGTTGTAGACAAACAGATTAGGCGTTATTGAACTGACAACACAATGTCCAGCGTTGCTTGATAACAACATAGTTATACATCATTCCACTACTTTCAGATACAGATGTCTCACTTTCTGAGAATGTCAACTCTGAACTGGATGAGATCTCCAAGGTATAGTGACATTTCTGTGTATTTGTGACAGTTTTTGTAGTTTTTTTGTTTTGCAGAGATCAAAATTAGAGAATAACCCACTATTTCCTACATTTCAAGGTCCTAAATTTTACTGCTTAGTCCTATTTGAACTTGTCCTAACAGGAGTAGAAGGGCAGTTTTTTTAGCATATTTCATAAACTAAATGTATTCTGAAGCACAGTATAAAAAAACAAATGAAATATAAAAAAAATAACTGATCAAAATTAGAAAACACTTACATATACTTCCCATTTATTGGTGTTAATCTGGCACCTAGTGCTATTTTTCTTAATTACATGACAAACCCTATTTAACTGGCAGCATTCCTCTAATTTTCACTGAGATTGCAAGATGGCAGGCTGCTTTAAGGTGACTGAAACCATGAGACAGCAGGTTGTCCTGATGAAGGCCAAAGGGATGACCCTTTCAGCCATTGCAAGAGAAGCTGGTCAATCCAAATCTGTGATTTCTAGAATATTGCAGGTGTACATTGACTCTAATTCATTCAAGTCCCCCCAAAAAAGGCTGGTCGTTGGGGAACCGATGAAGAGTCATTTCAACACTGCAGCTGGAATTGCTCTCCAGTTCAGTGCTGAACAGACTAAGGATCTGTCTCAGGATGTTTAAGAGAAGTTGGACTGAAAGCGGACTCTGCAATGACCTTTCATCAGCAGAGAGAATCAAAAGTCTAGACTAACCTTTGGGGAGGAACATGTTGTGTGGAGAGAGGTGAACTGGTCCAAAGTTCACTTTAGTGATGAGAGTAAGTTTAATTTATTTGGGTCTGATGGAAATCATTTTGTTCGGCATTAAACTGGGAAAGACTGAACCTCGAGTGCGTAAAGAAGTCAGTGAAAGGTGGAGGAGGAAGTGTCATGGTTTGGGGAATGTTTTCTGCAGCAGGAGTTGGGCTTCTTATATAGATACATGGCAGGGTGAATGCAAATGTTTAACAGAACTGCCTTCAGCAACATACAGTTCCTTCCCTGCAAGGATCTCCCAATCAGCCAGCAATGTTCATGCAAGACAATTCCCCCTGTCACACAGCAAAATGGGTAAAGCAGTTCCTTGAAGCTGAAAACATTCAAATAATGAAATGGCCAGCCCAGAGTCGTGATCTAAACCCGACTGAAAATCCTTGACAAACCCACTACAGTCACCGAATTATGGAAGAGACTGGAAGAAGAGTGAACCAAGATCAAAGCCGCACAGTGCAAGAAACTAGTGATGTCCTGCTGCCGCAGATGTGCTGAAGTCATTCAAAGCAAGGGCCTCTACACTTTCTACTCATTTTTGACAGCGGTAACCCTCAAAATTTTTAGTTGTAATCTTCTTTCATGCTACAGTGGTTACTGTTCTCTAATTTTGATCACTGTGTTTTCAACAAACAAACAAAAAAGGTTTTTGTTGAAATGCCTTGGTTATTTTGTCAAAAATGTTAGTTGAACAGTAATATACCACAGCTGATATTTCTTTAAAGGAATATAAAGCAATAAACTACTGATTAGATATTGATTTGTGTTTTCACTTAAGGTTCCTAAAGTTCACCCCATTCACACTTACGTGGCACTTTACAAGTTCCTCCCTCAAGAGCAAAATGACTTAGAATTACAGTAAGTAACAGTGTGTGAGAGAGAGAGAGAGAGAGAGAGAGAGAGAGATATGTCTGTGTTTAAATGATTAACACATTCCCATATATCAGCACACAGATGATTTAGAAACATCACATTTGGCTTTTCTCTCTGTTTTAATCTCAGTCCTGGTGACAGAGTTATGGTGACTGATGACTCTAATGAAGAATGGTGGAAGGTGGGTATTTATGTTCAAAGAGCTCTATATTCGCAGCAGCATAGTAGAAGGAGTGGGAGATCAACTCTACCCTAGTGAAAAATATATACTAAAATTTATTTGAAATAAATTTAGTTTGTGCTAAGTATACTACAAATACATTTACATATTTATGTTCTTAAAAATACACTGCAATTGTACATTTGGTTTACTAAACTGGATCTAATTTTGTACTTAATGTACTTTAATTGTGCGGAAGTAATACTGAGGCCCAACTAAAGATATACTGAAGTATGTTTGATTGTGCTGAAGTGGAACTATTGCAAGCATACTTCAAGTACACTTTAAATATCTTGTATTTAAATACTGATATTATACAGATATCATACAGTCCTTATTAAAAGTAATATTAAAACACATTTTAGGCATAATATTAAGAAATGTGCATTGTGCAATAAAGAAATACTCCAAATAAAGTTTGTATTATTATTGAATTATAATTTTATATCTGTAAGTCTTATGTGATATGTCAATAAATATGTTAATGTATTTGAAGTATACTTAGTATGAAATAATGTATTTCAAATAAATCATGGCATAGGATTTTTACTAGGTTAAAGATACTCATTAATGTTCTTTAAATCTTTTTAGGGGGAAAATTGAAATCAGCAGTTGAAATCATTTTGAAAAATTCTGATATTAAAATATTTTGAACTTTAGACAGCAACGTGGTTTTGAAACACAAAGCAGTGCTGTACTTATAAACATTATTTTATTAGTCATTTTATGGAGGTAGTATGAAAAGAAAATGCCATCAATAAATTCTGAAGTCAGTTCTGTTCAGAGAAAAATCCTCTTTTCAAGGGTCTTTGAAAGGGTCTTTCTAGGGCATCCTCTTTTCAAGGGTCTTTCATACAAATGTATCTCTGTTCCGGGTTTGATGAACCCCCTAGGTGAGGTCTAGGATGTTTAATGCAATGTCAGCTTTTTATTTCATGCTTCCATTTGGAGAATGTTGTATTTTGAGGATACTTAAGGAGATGCAAACGGCACAGTGATTCTGTAGCCAGATGACACCATGGATTTGAATATTTTCACTACATTTTCACAGCTCTGTCGTTCTGGTCAGGTATGCATTTTTTACTCTTAGATTTACATTTACATTTAGTCATTAGCAGATGCTTTTATCCAAAGTGACTTACAAATGAGGACAATAGAAGCAATCAAACTAACAAAAGAGCAATAATATGTAAGTGCTGTGACAAGTCTTGGTTAGTCTAACACAGTACACGTAGAAAGATTTTTTTTTAACATAAATAAAAAGAAAACAAGTAATTAGAATAAAGAATAGAATAGAGAGTGCAAGTGTTAGAGGGTCAAGTTTTGAAGTAAATAAATGAAAAGAAAACAAGTATATAAAATAGAAATAGAAAAAAGTGTGCTAGTGTTAGAGAGTCAAGTGTAGATGGAAGAGATGTGTTTTTAGCCATTTCGTGAAGATGACTAAGGACTTAGTTGTTTGGATTGAGTTGGGCAGGTCATTCCACCAGGAGGGAACAGTTAATGTAAAAGTCCATGAAAGTTATTTTGTGCTGGGTTGGCAGTATAATGTGCTGTTCACTTGCAGAACGCAAGCTTCTAGAGGACACATAAGTCTGAAGTAGTGAATTTAGGTAAAGTGGTGCAGAGCCAATGGTTGTTTTGTAGGCAAACATCAATGACTTGAATTTCATGCTGGTAGCCAATGCAAATTGATGAACAATTTGCAAATTGTCTGTGAAATTTATTATGGTTGATGCGCCTAGCCGAATGGTGAAATTGCAATGAAGTGATGGGTTTGCTGAAACCACCATCAGCATAGCAGTGATATGAAAAGTCATGCTTCTCAATGACACAACCTAGTGATGCCATGTAGACAGAGAAGAGAAGTGGTCTAAAAACTGAACCCTGATGCACCCCGGTAGCTAGATGTTGCGACTTGGACACCTCATCCCTCCAAGATACCTTGAAGAACCTATCTGAGAGGTAAGACTCGAACCACTGGAGTGTAGTTCCTGAGATGCCCTTTGCTAACAGGGTTGATAGGAGGATCTGGTGATTAACTATGTCAAAAGCAGCGGACAGGTCCAGCAAGATAAGTATTTAAGATTTGGAAGCAGCTATTGCCAGTCTTAGGGCTGCAGTTTCGGGTGAATGACCACTTCTGAAGCCAGATTGGTTGCTGTCGAGGAGGTTGTTCTGTGTGAGAGAGACAGAGACTTGGTTGAACACAACTCATTCAAGTGTTTTTGCAATGAATGGAAGAATGGATCTGTAGTTCTCTGAAAAAGCTGGGATAAGAGTGGGTTTCTTAAAGGGTTAGTTCACCCAAAAATTTAAATTAGCCCATAAATTACTCACCCTCAAGTCATCCTAGGTGTATATGACTTTCTTCTTTCAGACGAATCCAGTCGGAGTTATATAAATCCGCCCGGAACTGTTTCACTGTATAACAGTGAGCGCAAGCTAGATTAAAGTGATTATTACGTTTTGACTATGGATATTTTTCTTACAAAAACGCATCGATTCGCTACAGGAGGCCTTTGTTCACCCCCTGGAGCTGTGTGAGACACTTTTTTTTTTATGGATGGGTGCTTTTTATTTAACTTCTTGTGGACTGATGCATGCAACACCCGCTGAGTGGCATTAAACCGCTTGAAAGATTAAAGACAATTTTTAATATAACTTCGACTGGATTCCTCTGAAAGAAGAAAGTAATATACACCTAGGATGACTTGAGGGTGAGTAATTTATGGGCTCATTTTCATTTTTGGGTGAACTAACCCTTTAAGAAGTGGGGTTATCTGAGCCTGTTTAAATTCTGAGGGAAAACCATCAGTGTGAAGGGACGTGTTAATGATGTGAGTGCAGGCACAACTGAAGAAGAAATGGCTTGAAGGAGATGAGATAGAATTGGATCAAGCAGACAAGTAGTAGGATGATTGGAAAGGATGAGTTTAGAGACTTCTGCCTCAGAAAGTGGAGAGAAGATCGTGAGTGATTGTCTGTTTGGCTCATCAGATTAAATATATGAATATTCTTCTAGAGAAAAATTCTCAGACACCTCTGCTTTAGCCCCAATATTTAATTGAACACCCATGCTTAAGGTCTTTGCATGAAGTGTCATTTTGTAAAATAAAATAGCATAAAAAAAAACAGATAATAAAATAATAATTTGACATAAAAAAAAATGATTTAAAACTCCTGGTATGCTGCATATTGCTAAGCAAGCTCCCTAAAACAATATTCTTAATGTCCTGATTGGCTGTCCTGTTACTGTTGATTTTTTTCTTTGCAAATTTGATATTTTATATATGTTTTCTCTGATTATGTAATGGACATGATACATATTCACCTGATAAAATGTATTATTTTATTAAAATTAGTTATTTTTATTTTTTATTCAGACTTGCGGTGCTAATTATTGTCTTTAGTAGGCACTTTTTTTATCTTAAATTTCATAGTAATATTAATATACAATTTCTTTCCCTATTTTTTTTGTCTTCCCACAATGTCTGCTAAACATATTTTTCTGGTGTCCTCTACAGAGGACATGTAAGAAATCAATGTCCTGTTCTAATTTGAATCACTGAATGATTCTGATTCTAAATGATAATTACAAAATATTATCATATTTCCATGAGAGTGCTAAAGACGAATTAGAGGGATTTTCATGGTCAAACCTCCAAACATTGGGTATGTCTGAAAAGCCCTTTGTTCTTTACAGTAAATCCAGACTTAATCTGTGCCAAGTTTGGAAGTTCGGGGGAAAAAATACTATAGAAGTGAATGGCTACTTATAACTGTTTGGTTACCAACATTCTTCAAAATAGCCTCTTTTGAACAGAATAAAGACATTCGTATGTTAAGAACAACATGAGGGTATGTAAATGATGACAACTTTCATTTTTGGGTGAACTATTCCTTTAAACATTGTAGCCATGTGAATTTGTGTGCTTTACATTGAACAGTTTGTACAATGTTTTTGATGTAAAAACATTCTTTAATGCTTGACTGAACTGTTTTATACAATTTTCTATACATGAATCAAACATAAAAGTTTGAAATGACATCAGCAAAAGCTTATTTCTTCAAAAACAAGAATTGAGCAAAAATTCATAAATATTGTAATACAATTACCAAACCAAAAATTACTTAAAGTCCTGTTAACCATTTAAATACATGAAATCAAATATAAAATACAAATTAAATAAATGATATTTTTGGACACATGCCGGGCATTGTAATCAGTAGTACTACATAGCTTACTCCTCAGATATAATGTTTGTAACACTTGTGTAATGTGCAAAATAAATTGTAAAGCGAGCAAAAAAATTGCATAAATATATAATTGTTATAGAATTACCTTACAATAAGCAAAACAAACACATGTTGTTCATCAAAAATAAAAATATAATAAAATACAAAGTACAAATTAAATAAGCAAATAAATAAAATAAAATAAAAATCACAGCTTTGGTCCGAAGCCATAAATTGTAATCAAAGTAATAACTTTGAACTCAGGTGCAATGTTTGTAACACAATACCAATACTAAAACTCAGTGCATGAATAGTTATGGGTTATTATCAGTTATTATTATGAGTTATCGGTTAAGGCTTAGGCTAAGACTTGGCCACTGCAGGGCTGCCATTCCAGTTTTATGTGGGCTGTTGTAATTGCTGTGTACATGCACTTATGTCAGTGTTGCAGTACTAGAGTCCAGACACTATATGTGCCCTGTGGAGGTTTACATGACACTGATGTCATTCAATTCAAAAGAAAGCATATTCAAACGTGAATTGTTCAGACCTTTTTAAGGAACTCTGTTTTGGCCATCTTGTGGTCTTGGCTCGGGCTCAACCTACTCAAAGTCTCTGCCTGGACTCTGACTCTAATAAGCCTGTCTTGATGACAACACATTTATGCCACCTCTGAGAAGCATCTGAGCAATTGTGCAAATGCATGTAAATGCCACTTCAGAT